ACGGTGATGTGAGAATCAATATATAACAGTGGGTATAGTCACCTGTAGCAGAACCTTTCATCTCTGTTTTCATTGTTAACCTTGCCAGCAGAGTGCAGCTTGTACAGGTCAGTCAGCTCAGCCATAAGGCATGGCAGAATTACCTACTTGCAGAGTAAGCCATTGAATGCAGTTTGTCCTTCCTCCCACTGTTACACAAGTAATGCAGTACCAAAGAGGCTGGTTTCAGGTTTTTTTAGCAGAAAGAAGGCTCAAATTGACTGACTGCATGAACATCGGGAAATGACAGTTTGACCCAAGGAGGTGGGATTCTTTCTATTGCCCCATTCCCTTTGACCCTGCTTTCCCTGCATCCTTGTAACTTTCACCTCACAGAATGGGAATCCAGGTAGGAACTCTCATAAGCAGAAGGATTTTCCCCAGTATAATTATGTTTTTTGTGCCTGCTTTAGATTTTGTTCGCATTCATTTTCTAAGAGAAGTGCTTCAGAACAGTATCTTCCCAACCATACTATTACCAGGTTTGTTCCTTGCAGTTAACAGGCAGTACCTCCCACTATTTCATGAGTTCAGAAAGTTGCAAACAAGCTCTTCTACTTTCTCTGCACATTTTTAGCCCTGAACTGAGCAATTCTGGTACTTTTCAGTCTTGAAGAATATTAACAATACCTTTCAGTCCAGAAAAAAAAAGTTAAATACTGGCCTAGCTCCTAGCTCTTCATTTATGAGATACAGGTATAGTACCTTAGTCTAGCGTCCAGTTATTAGTTGCCTTATTTTTCCAGTGACAAATTCCTACTACAGTATTAACTGAGCCTTCCCCGCAACAATGTTCAGGTTTCATCCATAACCTTTCTTTAAGCAGGGAACCTGAATGTGCTCAAAAGAGCATTGTACAGGAGCAGTGTGAGGGGTGCATAAATTGCCTTCATAGTATTCAACATCTTTGCTCTCCTTAATATAAACTTCAAACACAATCTTTAAACTCGTTGGAAAAACCTGTGTTTCCAGTCAGCTTTTTGCTTCCTAAAGTGCTTAGTGTCTTGCTTCAAGTCAGGAGAAAATGCAAGATCAATACATATAATCATTACCTGCTATGTAGCATTACATGTTCTATCTAGTAAGGAAAGACAGACTTTGGGCAGGCATTTAAGTTGTAAACTTCTGGCTGCCTATAAATAAATAAATCCTTAAAATGAGTAAATTAAGCATTTTTCAACTAAGTAAACCCTATTACAAAGTCTGTGAACCAGAAATAATTCCACCAGAATTAGCCAGCTGGTTGTTTTATTTGCATCTTTGTGTTCTCATCAGTGGATTAGAGTTTTCCTGCTGGACTGAATTTGCACTATATTCTTAACAGGAATTTTTTGCTCATTTGTATTTTCTTAGTTACCCTGAAGGACAACTATCTCATGCATCTTCAGTGCCTAGTTTAAAACCTCCTCTTGCTGTGTTACTCACTTGTGACTTGTTAATTGTCTCATGCAATAGGAATGGTTTTGCATAAAACCAAGTATGGAGGCTTTTGGCATCCAGCAAAGGTCACTTGAGAAGGCTAAGATAAATTTCTGCTATAATTTTTTCTTTTTACATTTGACAGAGCGTTGTAGAGAACTTGAATATGAAGAAAAAATAACTTACAAAGGCTGTTCTACAAATGTCACTTTAAGCCGATGTGAAGGATCATGTCCATCTTCAACAAAGTAAGGATAGTTGAGAGATTATATAGTACTAAAGTTGTTTCTTTTTCTTATTTGGCCATCTGTAAGTAGTGATATTTGTTAACTACCACTCCTTTATAATTCAGGGAGAAAAATGTGGTTGGCATCCACCCAGCAATATAATGTTGCAGTATAAGACAGCTAACTAAAAACAACGCTAATAAGGTCATTTAGAACATAGGTATTTACAATTTAAACAAGGAATGTTGCCTCCCTTTTTTTTTAAAAATAACAACCAAGACATCAATGCTGCAGTTTTTGGGGGCTTTTTTGTTGTTGTCTTGTTTGGTTTTTTTTTAAGATGGAAAAGGTCAGTTAGACTACAAATACCTGTTTTCAAATAGCCAAGACAGCAAAATAAGAAATTTATCTCACCTAAATACATAATGTCACTTCAGTTGTCTCAATGTTCTCATAGTATAACTAAAAAATATCCCTGAATTACAAGTGTGCTGTCTCAGTCTGTGCAGTTCTGCTTGCTCATTAGGAGACTATTCAGACAGGGAATCAAGGCTTCAATAAAACTAAACTCACTGCAGCAGAACTTACAGAGTTAACAGTTATTTGGGGAAAAAATTAAAATTGTATATTCCCAGCAATCCAAGAAAATACAATGTTCAAGAATAGGAAAGGAATGAAGGGTTTTGCTTTTGCAATAACTAATTTAAATTAATCCTGAAGCTAAAAGCTATCCCCTTCAAAGTGAATTCAGGTGCCCCCCAGCATTTTGAAAACTGAGTGATTGATTTTGTATCTTAAGAGTTTTCAAAAGGGCTGTGAAGCCTGGAAAAAGGTTTTTAGTTATTAAGGTTCATCACAATCACTAAGAAAGTTGTGGTTAAAAAATAGTTTTGCTTTAATTGAAACCAAGCAGACTTTTCTCCCCTTTACAGAGATTTTCACAAAAATATTTCTTCCTGTAACTCTCGTTCCCATAGCTGAATTCTAGCCTACATTTATACAACTTCTCACTGACAAAAAAAAAAAAAAAAAAAAAAAAAAAATGGTAAGAGCAAGTCCAGCAGCACAGTTAGCTGAACATGGTCAGAAAAGCAAATGTAACAGAACAACAGTACTATCAGAAGAGAATCTAAATCTCACCTGCTTATTCAAGCTATCACTTCACCAACCTGTGCTTTATTCTTGTTAATTCAGCAAGATATGTGCAAGTCTACTACTAGCTTGTTAACTGACCTCACAACCCAGAATTGACCTTATACAGTCATCAACTTAGATTCTGGTGCTAATACTTCAGAGGAAGAAAGGGATTTTCCTTCCTCCATGAACTGTGCAAAAGGAACATGCACAATTTAGCATCTTTGTTAACAGATCAGACCAGAGACCTTTTGTAAACTGTAAGTAGTCCAGTGCACAGCTTTAAAAAAATTCAATAGTTACTTTATGATTTTCAGAAGTGCAAAAGGAGAATGGGGAAATCAAATCCTATTAGTTTTCCAGTGAGGTCTGAGACCTAATAGCTATAAGCTCTTTGAAAATTCAGTCTTAAAAAGGAAGGCAGAAGCTCAGTACACCTGAACTGCAGTAGTCATCATGAGAACTTAAAACAGAATCAATTGCTGCACTGTTTGTAGTTCTGCAGTTGACAGAACTGTTAAACTTTAAGGGTTGTGCTCTTTCCTCTTAATGTTCCACCATAAGAAAAAAAAATAATGTTCAAATACTTGAAAAGCTGTAAGCTTAAAATGCTGTATACAAATCCTAAATGATCCTCCCTCTCTTCCAAACAGGTTGAATGTTGAGAAGATGATGGTCAACACAGTATGCAGCTGCTGTAGGCCACTTCAACTTCTTAAAAAGGAATTCCAACTACCATGCCAAGACCCAGACAACCCTGGAAAAAGGCTTATTACAGAAGTGACTGTATTTAGTGGCTGTGTTTGTAACTTTGACAGTTGCATACACTAGCCAGACGTCCAGATGGCCTCAGATACCTTTTTTTTTTTTTTTTTTTAGTTAAACACTGATCACAATTTAATACTTCCACAGTGACTGCTCATTGCTGGGAGTTCTCTTGCATTGATTATACAGGATAGCCTTGCAGTGAGGCTTCCTGAGCAGCTACCTGGAGTGTCAATGAAGTTCACTGATAAATTATTCCTGATCAGGAGGGGGGTGTGGGGGGAAAGAACAGGCAGGGCGGGGTTTGGGAGGGAAGACCATGTCAGAGATTGTCTGGCCTTGCTCAGGGTGATATTTAACCAGAGGCTAAAAACTGGCCTATGCACTGTGCAATAACCAAAATTTGACTTTCAAATAAAGTAGAAGGAATTGAATTTGCTAACTTACTTCTCATTATTTGACCAATTATTTTAACTGAAAATAGTCTGTTAGGTTCACTACAGTTGAACTAATAGCCTATTACTTCACTGGGAGAAGAGACAACTGAGGTGACCTGCTCCCTTTCCTTTGAAAGTGGACACAGCACTCGTGCTTGTCATCCATAGACAGCTGTGGTCAGAAAGCAAGGTGCTACATGAACCAACAGCTAATTGTGAGGTTTCTACTCACACTCTTAATGTGGTGGGACATTTCTAGAAACATCATTAACACAGACATGTAGTGGCTTTTGGACAAAGCAGAAATTTGCAGGGCATTTCTCTCCAAGAAATCAAGACTCTATGTGTTTAACAGGACACAGGTAGTTCACTCTCAAGCGGTTTCTACTTGCTGCTAGTAGAGAGTATTCTTTACTACTTTGCAATTCATTTAAGAAAAAGTTGTATGAATGCACAAAAGCTCGTAGTGCCCAGGTATATTTTTTTCTTTTAGCAAGTTTTAGAGAAGTACTAAGAATCTGAAGCATACATTTAAAGCTTGAGTGAGGTTATTTAGCAGTTCAGATACTCTTTTCTTTACAGTGACATCAACTTTTTTTTACAAGTCCTGCCTGTGTGTAATACAGGTGTGTGCTTCATAGGCTCAACAACACCCCACTGTTACACCAGTTTACTGCAGCATGTACTGTTAATACACTTACTGTTGTTAAACACTATAGGAAGAAAGATTTTACATCAAGTTCTTTTCTTTACAGCAGAGTATTTGTAACATGTGACCAAACACACCAAGAAAAAAGCCATAAACAAACTCACTGGGGGAGCAGAGATATGCAGGCCAGGTAAGACTCAATTGAACACAACCCCCCAGTAGTTTGCAGAAAAGAATTTACCATTACACATCAATTTTTGTTCCATAACAATCATTCCATGCAAATATTCTTTACACTTCCATGCCCCCAGACAAAAAAGGACAGTTTGATTACTGTTCTAATCATTTATTTAATCTTAATACGTTCTTCTGATGAATATAGTCTAATATATAGTCTTCTATATGAAAATTCTCCACTTAATTTGACAGAACTTTTGTTTTATACAAATAAGACAATCACCATAAATGTTACATACTGGAGTGTAGGTCAAGAATGAACATATGCTACCTGTTTCGCTATTCAGTTATTTTCACATGTCAATGCCTGAAAATACTGTACTTGAAAACAATAACACTGTTTACTGCAGAAATTACTTTGTCTGCTTGACAAGATACATCACTTTGGTAAGTTAACCATCATTCACAAAAAAAAAAAATCAAGTATTTGTCCTTAACTTGTTCACTTTTCTGCTCATGGCTTCATTGAGCTGACATTTAATACAAAGTGTGAACAGTCATAAGCTTAACACAGTCACCACTGAAAAGACACTTTTCCCTTACCCCCCTCCTTCCCACATTTTTAATGCATATTTTAGCACAGCTTGAACCAAAGCAAAGTGAACTAAAGTAGTGCAGTGTCTCAAGGTGTCCTTTAATGAGGGCACAGAACTTTTTCAGGGGGACAGATATACAACAGGACTTGGAAAAAATGAAATAGAAGCTCCTCCCCTATCTTTGCTAAGACTCCCTGTAGCTCAGCACATCAGATTTTTAACGTAGCAGCCAACAGCATGGTTAAGATAACAGGACTAATAAAGAGACATATGGCATCCAAAGGACAAAACATACGATAGTCCATTAGTATTTTGCCAACTGCCCAACCTGACTGCAGGAACTGCTCATGAAGGTTTTCAAAGAAAGTGTTTGTGATCAAAGAGTCTTGGTTAGCTACCTGAAAGGCCATAAAAAGGCCAATTGTTTAAGAGAACTTTTGCAGAAAGACCAGGTCTATAGCCAAGTTTTCAGTTATAACTTCCACAGTTACCACCCATTTCTGGAAAAACAAAACATCTCCCAAAATCCACACACCACAGTCAAACCTTTGTTCCTCATTTTTCACTTGCACTCAAGTACAGTCAGGGGCCTTCAACCAAACCAAATTATAATCACCCAGTTCCATCATTTAACTCAAAGCACTGAAGAAAAAAGCAAGGCACACTCAATCATGTAGAATCCTGTCCCCTGCTGTGCACTGGGCAGCATGACAGGAGCCTCATTTAAATGTATTTTCAATGTCATCGCTATCACTCAAAACCTTTATTTCATGGGCATACTTGGCTATATGTGTTGTGAGACACCAGTCCCAGGCTTCCTTTAAATAACCTTGAGGAAATCTTGATCTGAGGTTCACTTCTCATGTCAGCAGCAGCTGACTTTGTTCATCGTGACCTGTAGTACTCGCTGACAACTGCCCGCAGTTTCTAACTGCACTACCTCACCTGCTCTGTTTTAGCAGCCTTTGTTGCATCTCAAGGCTTGAAGAGTGTGAGCCAAAGTTGCGTCCACTTACTTCTGCAGAGAGTTTGCTAATGTGGAATAAGCTAAAGGCTTTTGTTGTAAAAATCACTATAAAAGCTGAACATTTTTGGGCCTTCTACTCTCAGTCTCAACACAAGTCTTCTACAACACATTGGATATTTTTACCACCACTGACAGACAGGAAACTGTTCAGATATCAGTTATTCAACCTCTCGAGTTCTAACATTACTGTACACTTGGGAAAAAATATTGTTTAAAATTACATTTTCATCTAAAAGAGTGCATGCCTTACAGCCTTTCAAAGGCCCATTTCTTCCCACTTCTTTTATACAATACCAGACTCTGCAGTTAGTTATATCACATCATTAGGACTATTACTTGCTAAGTCTGATGGGAAACAGAAACACAGAACAGAATATTTAACTTCAGTTTGACTAACAGTGGACAAGCATTTCACCACCTACCAGAGAAGCTCACCTCATTATTTGAAATAAGCAGAAGGATTAAGAATAGCTTTTGTGTTCAATCCACTTTCCAAAGATCAGAAAACATTAAGATGTAAAGGATTACAAGATTAATACTTTAAGATTCTGGTCCTGTGGCATTTTTCAAATACAAAGATTGGTGACACTCAACATAAATGTTCACTTGAATCAGATTCAAATGCATCTTGGAATCTGCCCTTCCATCCAGTACAAGACTTGCGGCAATGCTCAACTTTACAAAGTTTTGACTCTACATTAACATCTGAATTAACCTTACTGAGCAGCATTACATTGGTTTCTTTCAACTCAGAGCAGAGGGAGTACCTGTTAAAGGCACTAAAGCAGAATGTTATTAGCCATTTCCAGTTGAAATCCTTGGTTACCACATCTAAATCAATTTCCCTTTAACAAGTTTAAAAGCCTGACCTCTGCAAAAAAAAGGAGCACAAGACAGCCCTCTCACCCTTTGTGTAACGCACTAAAAGCCATTTTTAATTTAAGAAGTCACTTCCCTGTACTGTATATTTTATTTCAAACAAGGGCCAAGTCCTATTAAGGCAGGGAGCTGGTATTGGTTAACACTGCAGTACTCAGACAGTGATGTACAAGACATTTATTTGCAGTATGATGACAGTGATATAAGTGGAAAAACCAAAACTGGCATGGTTAATATTAAAACTGTTCTGACAGCAATTCACATAATCTCTGAGATACAGCTTCTTTACTTGTTCGTAGTGTGAGCCTATACATCTGAAAAAGAACATAAAATATTATTTACTTTTTAAACACAGTTTGGCAGTAAATGAATGCACAGTCAACTAGTGAAAGCTACCGGTTACCTCTTACTTGTTTTGTTAGATTTGGTAGGAAAGATACCTCAAGTTAAAATATTCAGAGGCAGCCAGCCACAGCTTTTTCAAACCATAGGCTGGAGTACATCTTCAAGCCCTTGCTGAGAGTTACCATTGTTCTAATATTTTTAGGCTTTAACAGCAAGGTGTTGTCCAAAATTTTTCTTTAAGAGGAGTAAACGTTGTGGAAAAGTCTAAAGACTCTCTACCACCACTTCTTCAGAAAACAGGAGACTTACCACCCAAAACTTATTTTTAGTCCTCAGATAACTTTGATAAAACCTCTATCAAAATGCTTGAGGAAAAAATATTCTTAACATTGTGTCATTTGCTTATGTTTTCTCTTTTAGCCAATCACTCTTTTATTAGTTTAAAATAGCAAAGGGAATTATACTCAATCTTGTCCAAGGTGCACAAAACAGAAACATTAAATGTTTCCAACCTTCAAGAGAAGAAGGACAGTCTGGAATAATACAATGATCTCTTCCAACAGGAAAGAGAATTGCTATGAAGCAGCAGCTTACCAAACTGGGCCAGGACCAGCTGCTACAATTTCATTTCTTGTTGGGAGTCTGCCGTCACAATTAGCTATTGCAATAGTGATTTTAAATAAATACCTTAAGGAGTTTCAGATATACACAGATATTTAGTTCAAACAAGAACCTGTATTTGAGCTGTGGATACTTAAACGGATACCTGTGCCTGGAGGTTGGGTTCGAGGCGCAGCAAGCATCCAATCTGAGTAGTTTTTGTATGTATGATACCAGCACCAACAAAGTTAGCAGGATTGGGATCTACCTCCTCAAGTAGGGCTGATCCAAAGCCAATTATCTATGAAAGAAACCCAGAAGATTTAGACGTGGGGACAGCAGGACACCAATACCAAGTCTACCCAAGCACAGCCACGACCAACTAGCAAAACAAGTAGGAGACTAATTTTTATTTGAAGTGTTCAAGACATTCAAGAATTATCCAATACCTTTTTTATTACAACAAATTTTTGAAGTGACAGAGTGACCCTGATAATGAGCTGTTCCAAAAAAAAAAAAAAAAAAGGTTCTTCTCAAAAACAACTGAGAAACAAGTTGAATTCAACATCTCTCTCCTGTTTTTGATAAAGCCTTTCCTGTCTTACACTAGTCACTTCTGTTTCGCCTAAGGCAGCCAGTTCTACAAAAAGTCACTTGTTTTCTTTTCTAACTAGTAACTCTAGTGTATATATAGCTTGAAGTATCTTCCAATTCAGTTTTAAGCACTGAAGTGATTTTTTCTTAAGTAGCTTCAAGTTTCCAGCCGCTATTGAAGACTATATCTAATTCAAGCCACACTGCCAAGAGCCTGCTACACAACATGGACTTACACTTTAACAGGATGATCCAATTGCCATATAAACCAAGATGAATAAAGTTCACTTATACCACTACCCTTACACTACGAATTAAAAATACCACCCCACCACCCACCTTTGCTTTTGTGATCTCTGCATCCATCGGGTGTTTTGCTTTAAAGATACTCTGTACTTCTTGTTTCGGACTGCAAGACAAGGCAAGATGAATACATAGTATAACACGTGTATTATGTACAGCATTGTTCAATAGCAACTAATTATATGGCGAGAGTTTATAACTCACAGGATTAAGTATGGGATGGGGTACTGCACCAGCTATATTCACAATATACGCTTTCTCTTCCCTTGGCCCACCATAAGAGCCCCAAGCCCAAGTACAGACAAAGCCTTACTTGCTCAGTTGCTTCCAACGCTGAAAAAAGTCTTGAGAAGACATCTCTGTTGGCTGGAAAAATTTATTCAATGTGATGGGTAATTTTACCGAAAGATTTTGAAATGTTCCACCATACCTGCATATGGAATAGAAAGAACACGGTGTATGCAGCAGTGTCAGCAGTCTTTCAGCCTAAATCAACCAAGCAATTGAGGATGAACACTAAGGTGCACTTGTTTATGATTAAAATCCATCAACAGCAGATAATGCTATTTCTAAGATAAATTTATTTAACAGTGGATTAAAACTGTCTTTGCTCTGCTTAGATGGCACAAGAAAGTGAGTTGGCAGAACTTCTTAATAAGGATCTCTCAGTTTCAACATAGGTTGTTATCCTTCTAGATAGCACCCAAAGGAGTGAAAATATATCCCTGTGAAAACATACCAGTAAGAACCAGTTTAGACTAGAATAACAGAATGTAGCCCAGAAATTCCAAAAGGCTGATATTGAGTGGACAGAACAAGATTCTATTTTTGGCTGCATGCATTTCCAGTCCAAGTTGTTTGCAGAAGTGTTCTTGGTTTCCCGAAGGGAGAAGTTACTGTGTATATTCCTGTCAAGATTTCTTAGGCAAACAGGAAGACTGTTGTTTTATACGGATAGCGGAAAGAGAAGTCATGGAGACATTTTATATCAGTAGCTGCTTCTTGGTTTTTTTGTTTTTTTTTTTTTTAAAACCACATTGTTCCAAGTGGATTCCCTACCTCCCCTAGTAGCTCAAAGCTTAGTTAGATCAATTTTTCAAGTAAGTCATCTACCCAAGACAGCTTTATGTGTCCATATTCTACACTTCAGTCAGAGGACCAGGACAAATTTAACATCTTTCATCTAATTCACTAACATTTGAATCCTGTGTTTTACCTGAATTGGATGTTCAGGATTGGAGCTTCCATAAAGTCTGACACACATTCAATGTTCACAACCTGTTGAACCTGTGCACCTCCATCCACTGTAGGGTCAACAGGTTTTGTCTGAAGATTCAGGCATAAGAAGTGGTTAAGGAAACTGATGAATTGATAACTTTAAAAAAATAGCAAATCCTCCAATAAGCTACATGAGGAATTAGCATCGTGTCCACTCATTCTCTATAGGCTATTGAATAGTCAAAGCTCAATTCTTGTACAGCAAAGTTTTTGGTGGGATTTTTTTGTGGTTTTTTTTTTTTCTCTTCATACTGACACACCTAGAAGCAATAACCCCCACAATTCTCAGTTATTTGGATATTCTTGAAGAAAGATGCCCTCAAAAAAGTATGAAGACACTGACTTTACAATAAAAAGCACTGGACTATCTCATTTTGATGTGAACATTACAGTGATGCTTTGAGTCAAACAAGGTTGATTACATAGTTTCCCAGAAATCCTAAATTTGCAATACCAAGCATTAAGGACAAACTGTAAATTAAGAGCTTATTTTAAAGTATCATCATCTTTGTGTACATGTATTCTTCTACCTCCATCTCAAGTCTGAGGTTATGTGCTAATGCAGGACTTGAAGGACACATCCATACGCCTGCTACTTTGTGCAGTGGAGAAAGCTACAGAGTTACATTATGTATTTATTCAGCCTATTTTCTCCTTATTTCAACAGTAAAATTTGTGTCTGTAACCAGAGTTTTAAGGAGAGAATCTTCCATCTCTGCTCAAGACTTGTTCTTTCTAGAAGAACTTTAGAAAGTTATCAGCAAGTTTCTCATTTCTTCATGCTCAAGGACACCATGCCTTGATCCAGCAGCTTTATTATAGTTTTGTGTGGCATAAAACACAAAATCCAAATAAGAACAGACACATGCTACTGCGTTTAAGGATATTTGACTGTAGGTCATCTGAGCAGATTACTGTTGGAGTAAAATTCAAGAACTGTGTTGATGTCTTATTACCATAGAATATGAACATACGTCCTAGAAAGACAAGAATAAAAGACATCAGAATTTTTAGGTACATCACGTGTAATCATATTGAACTACTTGTGCTTCAAGTATCTAATACCCTGTCTTTCTACCTTTCATTAAAACAACAAAGCATAATTTCAATGGTTTATCTTACCAAGATATTCACAGTTCAAAATGAAATAACAGATTACAACAAACCATCAGACCTCTCCCACAGGAGCTGTCACACAGGCAGTTAAACACAGGCAGTTAAAAAATCAATGGAAGTCTTTCAGTTGCTGGAGAACATTACTTTTTATGTAAAGAAACTATTATGGTACCAAAAATGATGCAGAAGGGGAGAAGCAAGCAATCCTAGTGCCGGCCTGTGTTTGATTCCCAGCTCCTTCCTAGATGTTTTCAGTATCTTGTGCATTAATGTGTTATGACAGACATGTCTGAAATGTATTGTGTATTATATTATTACAATAAGCTATACTGTAAGATACAAAAATTGGAGGAGAATGGTCCTTTATACCCCTGGCTGTACCAGCCTTACAACTAGGCAGCAAAGGCTGGACCTTACAGTACCACTTAACACTCCCATTTCATCCCAGCTACCAAAACAACCAAAAAGTTTAAGAAAACAAGAACCCACACAGAAGCCAGGATCTTCACTGTTTGTGTGTCCCTAAGACAGGTTAGGCCTGAAATCACGCTTCCCTCTTAAGTAGCTGAAAAGTCAGTCCTATCCGCAATATCGTGCTGGCATTGGGGTTGATAATGCAGACAGCTAACCACTTCGCCCGCAAGATCTTACCCAGGTTCTGTCGAAATTCAGATTTCAATCCAATTTGTAGCAACTGATTTTCAAATAAGACTCCATTATTTTTACACACAAACCTAGGGGAAGAGAGGGGAAACATGTTTTAAATTGAGCCACATTAAACAATATTTAGAACCACAAAATTCAGGGTTTACACAGAGGATGAAGATTGTGGTTAACCTAGAGTGCATCAGTCTGTGAGAGAGGCCTTTGCAGAAAACTGCAGAGTTAGAAAAGACAATTTAACAACCAAAACCACCACTTGTAGGACACTAGAAGAACTGAAATTTTTATTTGATAGGATATCTGAGAAACTACGAAGGAAGCCACAATATGCTATATACACACACACGCTGTCTATAAAGGACCAGGCAACAGACTAGGATTTTTCTTATTCATATTCTTGACAACTTCTGAAACTCATTAGGTTGGTGCAGAATTGAAAAGTTTGAAGCTTTGACTGTTTAAACCTGAAAGAAAAAAGAATCCCTTGTTTTATCAGTTCTGTGTCACATAAGTCAACTGAGAGCTGTATTTTTTTTTTCCATTTTGAGAAAAGAAGCCCATTCTGCAGTGATTTCAGTCCCTTCTGTCACCCTTCACTTAAAAGTAGAAGAGGTGGTCAGCAAACATCAGCCTTTTGCATACAAGGCACTTAAAACATACTCCCAAATATCAGTACTTTTGACAGTTTACTCTTTTGTGTCTTTCCTTTATTTGTGAATAGTTGCAAAACTTAATATACAACTGGCATTGCCTCATTTTTAGAGCAGCGTATGATAGCACTGACTCGTAAAGGCAACTCTAACCTGCGTATTCATGAGCCTGTCATAAAATTCACAGCATCTACAGAGATGTTCTAGTCACAAGTCTGACAGTACGTTTCTCTAGTTTTGCTGGTATTAAGTTAATGCACAATATAGGTTTGCTTTATAACTATATTCTGGAAGTTGCCCAGCCTTGCAAGGTTTTAGTATTGCTTACTTGTGAAAAAGCTCATCAGCATCATGCACAGTATCAGCTGGTTCCTCAGAAACTACCTCAGATGAAGCCAGGTCAGGGCTAGTTCAGGCAGCACAAAGGAAGAAAGGCAGTAGCGACAGAGATAGCAGGAGTTAGTAAAGACAGCTTAGTGCTTTGTTATTTCTTTTACCTCCTTCCTCAAAAATGGCACTGCTGAGTTTAATGCATGAAAAATTTATTAGCTGCCCTAGCTCAGTACACCTAGAAAGGTTTTAGGCATTAGGCAATGTTGTCCCCCACTTTTCTCCCCCACCCCACCCCTCCCTGATTGTTAGGAACCAGCAATTCTTCCCAAAGACAGGAGACAGCTGAAGGTGTTCACAGTAGCTTAAATTTATACCTCTTAAAGAACCAAGTCCTTTTAGGTGTTTAATTGTGACAGCAAAGAAGTTTTAGTTCAAAACCATAAATGTAGATATTTATTAATTACTACAAATGTGTGCTTTGAAGCAGAGGCCTCATCAACCTTACTGGCACTTGTAACTACAGCTGCACAATCAGTTCTTAAAAACACGCAAGTATTAAGTGTAGGCAAGAATATACAGGCACACAGAGAATGACTTACCCAAGTAACAGATTAGAAACAAAAGTGACAACAGCACTAAAAAGAGGCAGGAAACTGTAAAAGGCAACTTCTCAGTATCATTAGAGAAGCGTTTCATCATCTACAGACAGACCAAGAGGTTGGGCAATGCTACACTTTCTTCTGCAGAAAGAGAAAACTCTTTTTAGGTAACTTTTGCTTATGAAGCTACTAGTATTGGTTTCTTTATTTTTTTCCTCTTCTGAAAAAAACCCTCTAACAAGCTTGTGTAGTTTCTTAAAGTCTTGGTATTGTGTAGCATGATAAACATCACTTATTGCCTTCCAAGAGAAACACCGGATCAAGTCTTAATCACTGCAAACTTGCAACAATGCATTGCCTAGTACAAAATTTTGATGAAAGTCTCAAAGATCCAGACAGATTAGTTTCACTAATTATGTCTTTTATATTAAGATGCACTGCAAATTTGTCATGACATCACTCAAAATTTGGTCCTTGACAGTAGTAACACGTTCTTTGGCCAGTAAGATGACAGATTTTTTAAAGACATTCTGTGATCTTATACTATTTATTTCCAAAATTTTAGTCAAATAACATTTAAGTGTAGCCACATTGGCTTTTAATATTAAAGGGATTAATAACACACTGCACCTGGTAATGTAATTAGGAAGATACTTGTATCAAATCCCCTTAAAAAAAACCCAAAGCACTTGTTTTTTTCCCCTTTTCACACCTGTTTGTCATACAGTAGCAGAACAATTTAAGTATATCTTGAAATTCTGAGAATCAGTATCTCTGGATATAATCCATCTCACTGTTCCAGTATCAGGTTGCCATAAGTAGAGAGACAAGAATACTTTATGGAAATAAGATAAGAATAAACATATTCATATCAGGCCAGATAACCCCTAAATTCAGCATGAATTGAGAAGCACAAGCAGCCTAGTTTAACAGAGAAGCAAAACCAGCATGAAAACTAGGCAATACTGTGCAGCTAATATCCTCAGGTTGATTACTGCAAACTCAGTTTTTTCAATGAGCAGAGGTATTCAATAAAGATAGCACATCCAGCATAGAGTTCAAGAACACCTCTCTTGCTGCACAACTACCACCCAGGAATGCATTCAGTAAGCTGGAACAAAACCAAGAGTTATTGTGTGTATTTTTTTCTCTAAGCCTGTTTTAACAGGCAAATTCTTCTTCAGATTCCTTACAGGGTGACTTAATTACCTCGCAAAGTTGTCATCAGAACCAGGAGCAAGAGGTGCAACCGCAGAAGCTGAATCTGAAAATACATCCACCAGCAGGCTACCACTAGAGGACGGTGGGGGAGCTGAATTGGTGAGAGGGGCAGCACCCAGACCCAACAGATCCGCAGATGGAGAAGGTGTAGACTAGGGAAGACAAGACACTTCGGTGTTACGCTACAGCAAAACTAAAACAAAGCTGTTTCTTTTACATAGACAACTAAGCTATGGCAAAGTGCCTCTCCCCACCCCAAATCAAGCTTTGAAGGGATGTAGGAGGCTTCACAAATGCAGTTATCACCTTGCATTTCAACTTAAGGTCATTTACAGATGTGGTTTTCTTTTTTTCCTTTGAAGAGAGTTATGTGCATTTAACTGTTAAATAAAAAAGAATTCTTCTGTCTAGAATCTGATTCTGCAGAAGAAAGACGACAGTGTTTTTCCCCTCTTTCTTCTCCCCTCTTAGTTTCAAGGAAAATTAAGTACTGTAGGGAATAAAATTTAAATGTGTTGCTTTTCTTTCATGAAGAATCCAGCAAGAAAGGCAGTGGCTTTTACATGAACCTAAATTAAAACATCACAGCATCTTTAAAATTGATTATCAGTTTAGTCGTGGGTTTTTGAAGCTTGGCAAACCTTAGAAACAATGTAAAACCTAACCAGCAAAAACACAGAGCCTGTAGCTAGTTCAAGCTGCAGACACTAAAGGTAGAGGCAAGACCTTTAATTTTTTTTTCTCCTCAAATATAACAAATCAAGTATCCAGGACAGAATCATGCAACAGAGGCCACATGTGTGTGCACCCAAGTCACACGCAAGAGCAAAGCATAGACTGTTAAACAAAATATTCATGTATTAGACATTAGCAGCCCACAATATGCCAGATACGCTGAAGATGAGTCATGAGATGCATTTGGATTGAGTCTGAAATTTTGTTTTTGTAAGCCAACTCAAAGTTATCATATACTCCAAAGACTGCAATTGATGCAGTATAATGAAAAATTTTCAGAAGCCAATTGGTAAGAAACTACTCAAAACAAACAATTGGAACTCCAATTTGGAACATATTCTTGGCATCTAAGCCAGGGTCACACCGAAGCCACTAATGAAGGCAACATAGCGGGAGTTTCTTACACGGCTGCAACCCATAAAGTGAAGCTCATAAAGCATAATGCAATTTTAACTGCCAGTCACCTCAGTCAATTTGGCATGCAAAGAAAATTTGGCAACTTTTCTGCTGGAAAGGTATTTCTGGCTGTTCAAAGATGTTGCACTTGGAACACCTACTCTTACATACTGCAGTGACTAAGAGTTAAAAGATTTTGCTTTAACAAACTAAGCAGAGAGTGTGCTACAGTATTTCATCCTCTTAGGTAATCTACTACTACATCTCAAATGTAATTACAAGTTATGCTAGTCATTAAAACCAGAAACAAGTATTACATTATGGAAACGATTCATGCTACCAGCTTTAATTGACAATAAAATCAGAAGTTTCAGCTCAGAAGAAACAAGATTGTGACCTTGTCTACCATAACTGAACTCAAATAAACAGTAACAACATTATATTAAGGACATCTGTGTTAAGTCAAGTGTTGTTCACTTCTAGGAAAAACAGTAACAACCCGAAATAAGATGCAAAATATATACCATGTTAGACAAATCAGAAAAACAGCTGTTACTTTGAAATTCAAGTTATTCCTTTTGAATATGTTAATATTATCATCTCACCTTCACTGCAATTTCACTGGCAAGGAAATTACCATTTCTAAGTTTACAGGAATATTTTTCAAACTAACAACATAGAAGGTATTTTTTTAGGCTGCAGACAGTTTGTCCCCATTTATATAAGATTTCCAAAGGAAAATTGCATCCAAGCATGCGGTGGGGGGAAAGCAGCTGTATGTTCCCCTGTTACCTTATAGCAAACACCCATAGTCTTGAATTTGAGATGAGAAGTTTTAAACACCTAAAAAGCCACTTCAAGGAAACCATTCTTTTATCACTTGCACACTGTCTAAATTAGTGAAATAACAGCTTTTAAACTCACAACAGCACTGGCATTGACAGAGGCAGGTTCAGTGCTTCCATTCATATCAGAGCTCCTCTCCTTTTTGATCTCTTCCAGGTCAGTAACTGTGCCTGGGCCTTTCTTCTTCTTGAGTTTAGCCAAAATAGAAGATTCCCTCTCTGGAAAGGGAGGCATTTCTTCCAGCACTGTAGCCTTATCACAGAAAAAAGGTGTATTAGTTAAACCTACAAAAAAAGCCAAACCAGCTTCTGAATCTTTGAAGAGATACACCCTTATAGATTGCATGAAGCAAAAGCAGAAGTAATTATCCACACAGAAAGCAACTATGCAGTTCATTGTACAGTGATGGAGTAGACTTGCTTTTTAAAAAAAGAAAAAAAAAATTATTTAAAACTTTTTGAAGTCCTCCCAAAGCAGTTCTTTAAGAGAACAGAAGCATTCTGTTCACTTCTCTGGTACAGTGCTATTAAAAAAAAAAAATAATTATATCATAGAAGACCTAACGATCCTTAAGTCAAGCAGACCTAGACTGAAACCACAGATCATCCAAAGATCTAGTCACACCTAACCATTTATTAGCTGTCAAGACTAAATGTGCCATGCTCTGGCCAGACCTGAGAGCATCAGGTTAAAACACTGTGAACTTCTAGAGACAAAAAAGAAAAAAAAAAAAAAAAAGAATTCAGCACAATTACAAGTTTCCTGCCCACCATCAAGTAAGTCCTCAAAACAAAGCATAGCCTTTTGGTATCTGAATACTGTAGGACCCTGTACTACGCCAGCTTTCACTGGCTTCTCAGCTCCAGATTAGCATGCTTTAATGGTCATTTGTCCCACTAAAGCAGTAACAACTTTGATTTTAGCTCTAAATTAAAGATGACTGCAGTTGAATTAGGTAGACCAAAAGAATCAGCGCCCACATTGTGGATCCTTAATCCTGCATTAAGATTTCTGAGCAATCAGGTAAAGTTTAGTGGAGTTTACTTGTTGACAGAAGACACAGCTAAAGAGTTCTCCATAGTAAAAAAAGAAAAAAAAAAAATCTTGATACCTACCAATATATCAGTACTGGCAATAGTACTGAGCCTCAAATACTCAACAGCTCTCTGCTGCAGCTCAACATCAGCATTTTTTAGCTGACTGTCACTGCGCAATACATCTTGAATTGTAGTTTTGATTTCTGGAAACAGGTTCACAAACTTGATGTAGGTAGACAGAAGCAGAGCTCGGGTAGGAACACTACACAGATGAAACTTGGAATGTAGCAAGTTGAACTGGATGAGGGGACTTAAAAGATAGGAAAAAAAGAATTTGTTCAGTTTCTGTAGACATGATAGTTCTTAATGTGTTACTAGCAAGAGCCGAATCATTTGTTAACTGGCCTTTAGGAATATTAAATAGACATCAGATTCTTTACAGAAAGCGTTACTACTTCAATTGAGTATTTTAAAAGGTGTTTTACCTTGATCTCGGATCACCTGCTATCAGATTCCCAAATTCTCCCAAGATGTAGCCACCTACTTTTACAAGATTCTCATGGCATGCTGGAGCTTGAAGGGCCTGTAAGAACACATTACTAGTCATCAATCTGTAGTGTATCAAAAAAGATCTTTTCTGTCACTTCCATGTCCAGTTCCCTAGTCTACTTTCCTGTAAGAGCATACCATAAGTCTAGGCACTATAGAGCACTTTGAGAAAAGCATGATAGGTGGTATGACTTTATAGAAGAATCTCTAACATAAGTATTACTTGCTTAAGAGCACCGAGGCCCATCTAGCAGCACTGTGGACTTCTGAGGACAGATACAGCTGCTTAGGTTTCCCGTTACATCTTTAGGGGTGTCAGAAGGATGTTAATATACTTAATCTAAACCTTGCAAGAATGTGCTGAAGTTATCCAAGATAAAAATACTGTCTTTATCGAGTATGAAGAAACACATAGGAGGGATGAGTTCCGAAAGTTAGCTTAAACATTCAGGAAAAGAAATAAAAAAAGTGGAAAGCCCATATGAAGAATCCAAACAAAGTCAGAGCAACAAGGCCAGACATTTGAAAGTGTTCTCCTTTAATAGTTCAAATTCCAGTTTTATCAGATCCTGAACAGAAGGAATGGGTATGTGCTTCAAGAAGGATCATCAAGTTATTTTGAGTATTTTGGATTCCTGCATGCGGAACACTCAAAAAAAAAAGGGCAAGCCACCCTGTAAAAGGCTTCTATTTTTACTACATTTCAGTAATTTTCAAGGTAATGTAATTTCCTTACTAAGCCATCCATTCAATGCCATCCACCAAAGTAACAAGAAACCCAGCATAACCCACCCTGCCCTCCCTCACCAAAACCAGAACAGTACCAGGTATATTCTACATTACTTAAGCCAGAGAAGCTTCTCATCAACTTAATACAGTCTCTGGCTCTAAAAATCTATGATGCTACTGTTACGGAAAGCTTCAGCAGCATTTTGTTGAAATATTCAGGATCATATTTTTACTCCTCCCTAACATGGGGAAGCACATGCTAGATCACGTGGTGTTTACTTAATTCCTGCCTCATTTTGAAAGGGAATTGAAAACAGTTCTTCTCACCTCAAAAACAGTCTTTGCTGCATACCCTTGAACATCATCCCTGTTGATGACAATCTGAATAACTCGATACCACACTTCTTCACTGACATAGTCACCAGCAATGCGAATCAGATTCAAGATTGTATCCACATACCAGGTATAGTCCACGGCATACTTCTCAGCTAGAATTGCAACTTTCAGAACCTGAACACACATAATAGAATAAAGAAGGTTGACTAGCTTCTACTATAAGCTGTGTATCAAGATTCACTTTCATATACACCTAGTGATACCAAGCTTGCTCACTTGCTCCCACAGCTAAGGTGAAAGATGAACATTAAAATTCTGTGCCAGAACACACCAGTTACCAGGTACATAATGCTTTCTCCATAATGCATTCGAATATGTTGCATATGTGGCTTTTCAACTGGTCCAGTGCAATTTATTGAACACTTTGTTTGCTATAAAAACAAGATCTAAACCATCACTGAGACAGGACCAAGTAGGAAATTGGAGACCTCTAAAAAAAAAGTGGAAACTCAAGCTAGCAGACACAGACCAGAGTCACCAAAATATAGCTGACTTTTTCAGGTCATACTAAGATTCCTATATCCTGAAGCAAACAATCAGCATAGGAAGAGACCTCCACATGATTTGTTATCAGTTGCATTTATACTGACCTATTAAGAGTAGTAAATTAACAGAATGAAATTCACATTATCTGCCAAGTCAGGGTAGATTGCCAACTGCAACAAGACAGTACAAGAAGTAAATCAACTAACACTGTATTCTATGTTAACTTCTCCATCAAGAAACTTTAGCACCTAACTAAGCTAAATAATTACTGTAAGTACAGGTTTTGGCTACCATTCTACGAAGGTCATTCAGCGAGTATTTAAACTTTTGCATTTTTTTTCCTGCTGGGAGGAAGGAGATAGATATCATGCCTCTCTCTTAGCTGATTATAAGGTATTGTTTTTGGGAATCCTTAGACTGAGAGAATGTTCTCACAACATACACAGCATGAAGTTCTACCTACAAGTAAGTATTTATCACACTAATTTTTGAAGCTATTGAACAGTTGACTAGAGTAGGACATAACCCTCAGATCTAGAGATTGGATTTGCTCAAGCAGCGATAAAACTCACTTCACTTTCTATATGCAATGCCCTGAGACCAAGATTAGTTTTTAAAATTCCTAGTTTCCAAGGGTTCCCCCTCCCCCCATTAGTTTAACCTAAACAAAGAACATTCTTTGCTATTAAACTACAAACTTAGGGTTTCGGGGGTTGAGTTTGGGGTTGGTTTTGGTTTGGTTTTGTTTTTTGGGTTTTTTTTAACCACCATGAAAAAGAATCTCTATCACAGACTATCTAGCATCCCAATCAATAAGTGATCCATATGGTGCCAAAGCCAGCTATGAAAAAATTAAGGAAACACAAATCTCACAATTTCTTCTCTAATGGAATAATCAGCAGTCTCCAAGTAATTCAGCATTTCAGCCACAATCTGTTGGGCATTGCTTCGGTCACACATTGCGTACAGGAGATCTACAGCTCTTTGTCGTACACTTACATCTCTTTCAGTCTGCAAAAGCACACACAGCAGAAGGTCAAGATGATTTCATCTTTATTTGGAAAGCACATGCAACTTACTGAAGAGATGAAACTTACTATAATCCCTCATCAAATTTTTAAAAAAATGCATTTTCATAATCTTTCAGACGCACAATGAACTTAGATATACCCTTCACACAAGCTATGAGTTTCTCACGTTATTCTCGCTTTCAGTCACCTAGAAAGAGGTCACTGGAGATTCAAGACAGCTTCCTGCTTCTAGATAGTATTACAAAAATTCAAATCATTGGGTTTTGTTTCTGTAGTATACGTATTCAAATCTGTGGAAGTGCTGAAAAGGATGGAGGAGTTTGTACAGAATAATCCACTATTACCCTAACTAGAGTGAATGAGTTTGTGGTCCACTGCACTGGGTAACTGGCACCACTGGCCACAAATGCACTAATGACTGGCTGAAATTGTCAAATTGTCACCAGGCCAATAGGCAACTAGCTACCTGCAAGTTTAGTGTTGGACTTGCCTTGTACCAACAGAAGCCCAGCTAGAGCAGATACGTACTTTAAAGTTAGACAAATGTATTAATATGCTACAGCATGAGCTTGGAAGAACACATTACATGTAAACACTGAAGTGTGCAAGTAAATTTACACGCAAGTCAGCCTTCCCCTTTTGACTTCTGCTTTTTCACATAAACATGGCCTGGGAACATGTCTTTCTGGTCTCTTGACTTTCTGATTCTGCAGTGGAAGTTGATCTGCTCTACTGCTCCCCATAAGCTACTGTAATGAAGGAATAGTGTCTGATACCAGCAAGACCGTAATAAAACAAAGTCTTCCCAGCGTTCTCTGTTTTGAAATTCCGTGTTTTGAAAGAATTATTTATCTTCAGTCTACAGCTTGAGGAAATACTGAAGTGTTACAGGGACCACAGCTACAAGTATCAGATTTACTAGTAAGCTGCAGAAATAAACTGAAGCTGACCTCTATTGTTGCCAGCACAGCAAGATTTTGCAGGATTAAGGAAAAAACCTAAAGCAGACTTCTGAGAATAACTCATTTGGTCCCCAAGTATTATTAGCTTAATTGGGGATGGGGGGCTTGGGGTATTGGGGAGAGGGCATTGAGGCAGGAGAGAAAACAACACTTAAACAGACTGCACACTTAAATATTTACCTTCAATGCATTGATAACTGTTTCTATGTGTGTTTTCACAGCCTCATGTGAGAATTCAGAGCTGGCAAGCGTGCACATGCTTTCCAGTGCTAGGTAACGCAAATTAGTTTCTCGGTGCTGCAAGAACTGACCTAGCTGGTTACAGGCACGGACTAGTAGATTTGGCTCACTGCACAGAACAGGAGAGAAAGTGAAAGGGTTAAAAGCAACAGGTTTGAGAACACCCAGTACAGAATACTATTTCTGCAGTGGAAATTTCATAAAATACTTCAAAGTGTCTGCTAGAATGCCCCGCTGGTGAAATGAAAATTCAGATACTGTGAGCAAATAATCTCTGTTGGATTAGAATGGTGGGGTCAATATAAAACACCCAAAAAAAAATCTGCAAGAAACAAAGCAATAAAAAATATGCTGACAGCAACACAGTTCATTAATACTGTTCAATTCCATTGCTGTGGTTGTGTTCCAACCTAGTAAGCAACTTCATATTCTGTTCTCTCCCCATTCCCCCAGCAAAATTCCATTTAGTGTTCAAGACAAAGCCACGGCTTTTCACTTAAAAAAAATCCTCTCATAATAGAAGTGTTCTTACAGCTTACCTGTCATGATGTATAATTAAGCTTATTGCCTCAAACAGCACAGCATTCTTTGCATTTGAGTGTTGTACTTTTTTTGACTTTGGTGGCTCCTGCGCTTTGTTAAGAATAGTTTCCAGGCATTCTGTTAGACGACCACGTACCGCAGGGTCTTCTAGAGAAGAACAAGCCGTTGGACAACTTCATTTTGCTCAACACCCTAATCCCTACCTTAGGCCTTCCACCTTGCTAAATCTGAATAAACTGAAATGTATTCTGATACAGTTCACCCTCCCCCAGTATACAGTTGGCAAAAGAATTCTAAGCCACAGTTCTATCTGGGTGTTACTAAAAGCCAAATATGATCTGCGCTATAATATATTTCAAGGCTTTAATATAGTTGATAACATTAAAGAATGTTTAAAATGGCACTTGCAACTGGTTTATGAGATGCACACTGGTTTGACACTTCGTTAAAATTAAGCACAACATAATTCAAAAGGCCACATAGCTTAGAGCAATCTGAAACACTCAAGAGCACAGACTTCAGTATCCTTGTCTTAAGACAATGTGCTTGCACTCCAAGTTATGATAACACTACAGCACAGTAGCTCTTTGGAGATAGTGTACTGCATAAAACAGATGACCACTGTTATGATTTGTGCATTACCTGGAGGTGGATAGCACTGTAACAGCCTCAGAAGTTTCACAGATAACCAAGGAGCAGGAACAAAGTAGTATGTATAGTCCTGAAGATCTGTTGATGCAGAAGTTACAATCTGTAAAATAAGCAGGCAGCATGTCAGCTACTGAAGTTAAGTGATGCGCAATCATGAGAAGGACCCAAAGAATACTGTAGGTCACCTTTGACAGAGGCTTAAAAACTACGTCACTAGCAATATTTAATTCAGTACATACACTGCGAGTATACCATCAGGTTCCCTAGTAACAGAAATTAAGTTTTACAAATACAGTAGAGTCTAGGAAGTCTCTTCCCGAAAGCATACTTGCTTTTCTTAAGAATGAAGATGACCATCTTGTAACACCAAAACATTTAAGTAAAAGCTTAACTTTCTTTGGTTCAGCAATTCTAGATTCAGCCAACAGAAAGCCTAAATATAGTGTTATATTTGACTGCTGATAGGTGAACCTGGCATTCAAGCACAAGATGCTATGACAGACTGAACTAAAAGCAGAAGGACCAACCAACACCTTCAGTAATATTCAAACTCCAGAGCAAAGAACAGATAGCTTTCACAGAAGAGGTTTACGTGCACAGTGAAATGTGATAAGGGTTAGATTAGGTTTCAAAGGGAGTACCCCTCTTCATGGATTTCTTCTCCCCCTTTGATTCTAGGGTAAGCATGAGTTTGGCACTAGCTCTGCTCAAAGAAATTCCATCTAATTCTTAATGCTCCATTACAGGACAGCTATGCACTTCCCTCAGCACACCCTTGCTTTTAAGTATTAGACAAAATCTTCGTATTTTAAAAGAAATTAAAATTTCTCCTAACTACAAGTAATTTTGGGCATAAGGCTGTGTAAATCTGGGTCTAAAATACATTTGTGAAGTAGTATCCTCCCATGTCTTGCATACCTTCCAAAAGGCAAAAATCAAACAAAACAGTAACATAAGTTTTCCAGCATGAAGATGCTAACTTACAGAAATGTCTCTCCACTCTTCCCTGCACCCCCTGCCCCTGCTTAACGCCCTATACCCATTTACGGAATATCAAATGCTTATGATTATTAACCTAGCAGTAGCTCAAAAGACGGAATAGGAAGAAGACTCATCTTGTAAAAAGCTTAGATAAAAGTTAGAAGCACAGGTTATGTTTTTGAGGGTTCTGTGCAGAAGTTTGCAGAATCAGTCTCTGATCCAACTACTCTTTGGTGTTATAGTAACATAAAATGAGGATTAAAAACTCAGCTGCATCATGAGGATCCTTTCAAATACAAGTAGCTGAAAGACACCTTTTTGCTAACATAGACTTGGAGCATAGTAAAGATTACACCAAGAAAGTTTGAGCAAGCTAATACAGTTTTCTGCCTTGGTAAGCAACAAGAGTTAAGAGATTAGCTGAACCAGCTATATGAAGTGAAACTGAATCATCTTCACTTGTAATGGTACACTAAACTAATCTGACCTAGAAAACTGAACAAATAAGCAACAGTAAGCTAACCTGACCTAGAAAGCTGAGTAAATTAAGCAACAGTGAAGTATTATCAGGGTTATCGTCGGACTCACTCTGCTTAATCTAGACACTGCCAAGGAGACTGAAGTTTTAAACTCTTCTGGGTTCTTCTGTGCCAAAGTGGTGATCAGACTTGTAGCTGCAGTAACCACACCCTAGAAAATAAACAAAGCAATACATTCAATTTTATAACAGTTTAAGATGCTGCCCATTAACGCCTTTCACTTCAAGTATTTTTTAATACACAACAAAACTAAGTTTATCCCCATGACAAAGCCCCACATTAAAAAGCCCTTTATTTGGCTAGTAGCTAGACTACTTACACATCTTCAAAATCATAGAATCATAGAATAGTTTGGGTTGGAAGGGACCTCTAAAGGTCATCTAGTCGTACCCCCCTGCAATGAGCAGGGACATCTTCAACTACATCAGGTTGCTCAGAGCCCCATCCAACCTGACCTTGATGGGGTCAGGTCCAACCTGACCAGGGATGGGGCATCCACCACCTCTCCGGGCAACCTGTTCCAGTGTTGCACCACCCTCAGCATAAAAAATTTCTTCCTTACATCTAGTCTAAATCTACCCTCTTTTAGTTTAAAGCCATTCCCCCTTGTCCTGTTGCAACAGGCCCTGCTAAAAAGTTTGCCGCCATCTTTTTTAT